TCAAATTATAAACTATAACAAAATTAATGTGTAACATGATGGCACATACCTGTAATTTCAGCCTGGGCTTCATGAGACCTTGTATCCAAAAATAAATAAATAAAAAGTAAGATGAAAAATTATGCTTTTAAAAAAAAGTGAGTGCAGGACATGGCTGCACAGCTCATGTATGGAGGTCGGGAGTCAGCTTTCTCCTGCTTTTTGGTTGTTACCTTTCTTTTTTCCTGAGTCAGGGTTTCTGTCCTTGAACTCCCTCTGTAGACCAGGGTGGCCTTGAACTCCCAGAGACCCGCCTGCCTGTACCTCCAGAGTATAAACATTGTCTTGAGTCTAAGCTAGTGGGAGGAGAGGGTCCCACACAGCAGAGCACACAAGGAGAGCAGCACGGATGCTGTTTTTTGTGATCCATTCAGGAGGCTGTGCTTTTCTGTTTAGAGACAGGCTCCTGTCCATATACCTCAGGTGAGCCATGGCCCAGCCAGCTTTCCCTTAGTGCCGGTACAGGTGCACACCGGCACACCCAGCCTGGATCTGCTTCATAAGAAAACCCTAATGATCATCTTAGTTGTGAAGGATGTTTTGCTTTGAATCAAGCATTTATATTGAGTTATTAGAACCAGTTGCTTAAGTCAGTTTCGACAATGTTTAGTCTTCTGTCCTTTACAGTTTGGACAAGTGTGTCAGCTGTCACTTGGTACATTGTGGCAATATAAATGTGTTTTTAAGTGAGTATAGATTTGTTCTGTTAAAAGTTCTAGTACTGAAGGCTCTAAAGCAACTGTAGAATTGAGTTTTTGGAGGTCTTTTTGTATGTATAGTGTCATGGGTTTGAGCCTTGACATTGTGAAGAACTGTGAGGTAATTACACAGGTTGGAAGGAGCTGAACACAGGTCTCCCTGCAGTTCATTTTTAGTTCTGTTTTCCCCCAAGTACAGGCGTAATTCTAGAGTTGTTCTCCCTCAGCACCTCCCTCATGTAGCCCAAATAATAAAAACCCAGAGATACTGGGTTCAAGCTGAAGATCAGAAAAACAAAGCAGCCAGCCACTAGAGAGTTCTCATCTCTACGAAGGTTGGATTGATCTTGTCCTCAGTGAAACTGTACATTGAATACTCTGCATTCCTGTCTCTATCCACCTTATATTCCTATCTAGTGTTGGGATTGTGCACCACCACTGCCCGGCTTCTATAGCTAACTAGTGTGGGTAGCTCTGCATTCTGACCTTCAGGCAAGCTTTATTTGTTAGATCATAAACAAAGTATCACCACACCTTCACTCCCTTGTACTTAGTGTTGTAGCTGGCCCAGGAAGAGGAAACCTGAATGGGAGCTGCCTCTGCCATTCTCTCTATCTGGGCACATTGTCTGCAACCTACATCTAAATAAAAGTGAAACACATCTTAATCAATCTTTCCATTACTAAAACAGAGGCTTTACTAATTCTGTTCTGTGTATTGTGAGTGCAGGCAGACATTTGTCATGCTGCAGAGGACAACTTTGTGGAGTCACTCCTCTCCTTCCACCCTTGTGTGGGTTCTAGGTGTCAAGCCCAGGTAGTCATCGGGTTTGCATAGCAAGCGCTTCACCCACTGAGCATCTTCCTGACCTAAGACTTCACAGATGATGTGAGCTTTAAGAGTGTGCCCTGAATTCCATGTAAATCGTGAAAATTCACTCCTCTTTCCTGTCAGCCTCACTCCTGTGATGTTTGTTCTGCAGATTTTCCTATGACGGCAGGTGGAAACAGAAGCTGCAAACATCTGTGGACTTCCCCTTAGAAAATCTTGACTTGACTCAGTATGTTATTGGTCCAAAGAACAGTTTGAAGAAATATAACTTGTTTTCTGTTTCAGTAAGTATCTTGTTAAACTGAAGATGTTTTTAAAACAGGAAGCTCCAGCACTTTCTTAGGAAAGTAAGAACAGCCAAGACTTAGAAATAACTGACTTGTGCTAAGTAATGATTCCGTTTCTGTTTTTTCTTGCTTGATACAGAACCACTACGGCGGTCTGGATGGAGGTCACTACACTGCCTATTGTAAAAATGCAGCGAGGCAGCGCTGGTTTAAGTTCGATGATCATGAAGTTTCTGATATCTCTGTGTCTTCTGTGAAGTCATCAGCAGCTTATATCCTCTTTTATTCTTCAGTGGGACCACGAGTAACTGATGTAGCCACATAGAGGTGTAGGTTGTGGGCGTGTTGATGTTTCAAATCACAGAGGCACATCTCCTAATGCTTACAAAGATAACGGATTGCTGCAGCTGGCTATGTAGAGGAATTCCAGAATAATGGGGGCTGTGTTATTAGCACCATATAATCAGGTCAATGCTGTTTATCAAAAAACAAAAGCAAAAAGCAAACAAAACAAAACAACCTGACATTTAACAAGTATTATAGTAAGCATCCCTTACATGTATTTATTTCAAAACAACTTTTTTAGTCTGCCCCAAAGTTACAAATAATTCACTAGCTGGACATTTATTATTCTACTGGTATCAAACCATTGTAACCCTTGTTTTCCCATTCACTGCTATAGCCTTTCTCATTTCTAGTTCCAGCTTGATCCACTGTGGATACTCTAGAATACCTAGCACAGATAGGAATGTATATGTACATATTTATTGCACTCTTGCACATCAGATCACTGTACATAGTTAACGTGTCCTTCTGTGAAAAGCCTAGGAGGGAGGGTTTTTTTTTTTTTTTTTTTTTTTTTTTTTTTTGTCCTTTTCTAGGTAGCTGCAGTGCTTTCTTGAGGAAACGACAGGGCAAAACTATTTTTCTGTTGGCTTTGGGCTGTATTTGTGCACTAAATCTTTATTCTAAAAAAAAAAAAAGGAAACTTTAATTTTTTAAAAAGAATTCATTTACATCTACATTAAAATCTTAATGAAAAAACTCATTTGAAACATTGTAAGTAGTCTGTCTTTCATCTTCAAACCTCACCATCACCACCAATTCTTTGAGGTAGGGTCTCATTATGTAGCTCTGGCGGTTGGGAACTCAGCAGCTGGTCTTGAACTCACAGAAGTCCACCTGCCTCTTAAGTGCTTTTATATATACTTTATTCACCATACAGATTTCTGGCATAGTTATTCTGTAGAATTAGAATTCAACTCCCACCCCACCCCATACACACACACACAAATGTGGTACTCAGACTTTAAAAGCTGGAAGTCCGTTACAATAACCCCAGACTCCTATCAAAACCCTGAAGAATTAGGGAAAACAGTGCTGAGTCGGCATGCTGTAAATTGAGCTACTGCAGCAAGAAGCACAAATCCTCCAGAGCAGTGATCAAGAACCCTGGCCTTCCCGGGACAGCAGCAGTGAGAAGCTACACAAAGGGTTTTTTTTTTTTTTTTTTTTGTGTGTGTGTGTGTGTGTGTGTGTGTGTGTGTGTGTGTGTGTGTGTAGGATTTCATACAGTACTATGTTTACATCATTCCCACCCCATCCTCTTAATTCCTCTCATGTTCCCCAACTCTCAAATTCCTTACCTCTAAAGTCCCTCCTGCACACACCCCTTACTGAGTCCCTTTTAGTGTTGCTCATGTTTTTAGAGCTAACCACTTAAGATTAAATGTCAGGGTTCTCATCCCTGGAGAAGACTGATTCTTCCTGTCTTCTTCCCCACACCCTGTGACAGGGTTTCTCTGTGTAGTCCTGGAACTCACTCTGTAGGGTGCAGCTTCCTTATTGCATACAGAAGACACTGCCTCATAGCAGATGCGCTACCCCTCCTCCCAAATGTTCACTGAGCTGAGATGTTGTGGTTGTGCTGCAGAAGTATCTTCTGGGGCCCAGCTCCACTTGATCTGCATTTTGATTAGTAACAGCCTTCAGTGATAGTCTCCATCTGATGCAAAAAGCTTCTTTGATGGGGGGTTGGGTACTACACTCACCTGGGCTAGCTATTCAGAATGAAGTTGAGAATTACACCAGCAGTAGGAGAGTCTCCTCTAGTGTCCACATCTCACCAGTTATGGGTAGTTGGGTAATTGACTCATTTTACCAGGCATGGGTTCCCTCTTGAATGGTTTAAGTCCCCTTAGTCCAATTAAACAGCTGTTGCTAATCCCCAAGATGTAAGTGCCACCACTGCTCCTATTAGGTCACTTGCCTCGTTGGCCATTGTGGTTTATAGGTGTCATAGCTGACTATGACTACTGATTGCTTTTCTCCCTTGGCAGCGTACATAGCGTGTTGAGATACTGTGAGACTTAGTCCTCAAGTGCAGGCTTCCAGGTCAATTCAGCTCGATTCCTTCAAGTCCTGAATCTTAAAGGATGTGGTGTCCTCAGCAGAAGGGTCTTAACCTTCAGGTTCTGGAAGACAACTAAGGGCAATAGTCCATATTGTTTTGGGAGTCTCTTCTAAACAAAGATGCTAAAGGTGTTTTGGAAAGTGGTTATTTAACTTACATGGGGGAAGGCTAGAGCATGGGTTTCAAGTTGTAAGATTTATTTTTATGATATTTTGCCTATGTGTGTTTATATATAAGTGAACCTTATAGGTGCTAAGAACTGAGCCCAGGTCCTCTGCAACAGCAAGGGCTCATAACCCCTGGGCCATCTTCAGCCCCATGAGTCACATTTGCACTTAAAACTTTTCCCCTGTGCTAGTGATCAAATTTTGGATCTCATGCATACTGAGGAAACAACCTATATAGTCACATGTATAAACAAAAATCATTTGTGTTGGTCTGGATAGATGGCTCAGTGAGAACTTGAGTTCAATTCCCAGAACCCGCATAGTGGGAAAGAGAATGAACTCCTAGGTTACTACCCTCTGACTTCCATGTGCACATAGATACAAAACAAGTATAAAGATTTTTGGAAAATAACTTGGTACTTATAATGATGACATACAATAGAAACCTGCCTTATCAAACACTGGCCTTTGAAACCTGCAGTTCTTAGGCCCCTATGATGGCAGTGCTAGGCTCCCATGCTACCCTGAGTGAGGCTGTGTGTGAGATTTAGAAACCTTAGCGATGTAAGTAACTGGTAAGGGTTTAATGACAAGGCACACCATGCATTTTCTGACGGCTTGTTTGCAGTGATCAGAAGTGCTGTCCTAGCTCTTGGGTTTCTGTGTCGGTATAGAAAAGGGCTGGCAGCTGTAGAACAGAAGATACGCTGTAGCCGTTTGAACTGAAGTATCTGGAATCTCACTGACTCTGGTGTCATCAAAGCTATACCAGGCCTGAGTCACTGAGTTCTTGCAGAAGGCAGTGTAGTGGCCACCATCCAGATCGCCAAAGTGGTTCTAGGAAAGAAAGGGTGTAAGACATGGTTTCTACATGCAAAAGCTCTGGTAGAATAAAAATGACAAAACCAAAAAAACTTTTTAAATTGTCTCTTATACTGAGGAAATAGTTTTATCAAGTCTGACTTTGAATTGCTTGTATATTGTACTCTTTAATAGAATTATAAAGGAAGTGAGATAACACATATAAGGTTTTAAAATTTGGAGATAGTCTTCATATGGGTGTTTAGCCTGCATATATGCATGTGTACTATATAATGCCCAGTGTCCATGGAGGCCTGAAGAGGGCATTGGATCCCCTGGAACTGGAGTTACAAATGGTTGTGAGCTTCCATGTGTGTGTAGAGAACTGAACCCTGGCCTTGGTGTCTCAATGCTGCAACAGCAGAACAGTAGCTGGCAAAAGAAACTGACCGCCAAGGCCTAAAATACATTCTAGCTGGCTTTTTACAACATTTGCTGACCCATCATATAAAGGAAAGAAAATACATCAGATGGTAACCTTAGAGACATTTCCACCTTGCAAACCCTAATCTTGCATATGTGAACACAGGGAAAATGACACAAGTCCTAAACTAGATGTAGCTCATCCCTGTACTTCTCAAATCCTGTAAAACCATTAATACTAAGCATGGCTGAAATCCCAACACAGGAGGCTGGGGCACTCAGAAGGTTGAGGATCATATAGCTTTTTATTTTAATATGTTTCCCTGCGTGTATTATCTGTGTACTGTGTGAGTGCTGGTGTATGCAGAGGCCAGAGGAGAGTTTTGGGTCCCCTGGAACTGGACTCACAGATAGTTGTGAGCTGCCTGCCATGTGGGTGCTGGGAACTGAACCCAGGTCCTCCGCAAGAACAGCCAGTTTTCTTAATCACTGAGCCATAGCTCCAGCCCCTTTCAGCCTTTAGGAGATTCCTTGTGCACTACAGAACCAGCACAAAGGAGGTAGATGCCAACTGATGTTTCCTTACTCTCCATCTTGTCTCTTTTCATATCATAAAAGTGGGGGGAGCAGATTGAAGAGCAGAATGAGGTGAATGGTAACCAGAGCATTTGAGCCACGAAGCCACACAGGGGGGTCCTGGAGAGCAGGGCTTAGGCGCCAGAAAACAAGAAGCTGGACTGAGGTTGCCACACCTCAATGGAAGGACAGACTAAGACACTTGCCACCAAAGCTGATGACCCAAGCTGGGTATCTAGAACCCACGTAAGTTTGAGGAGGCCTGGTCCTACAGGCTGACCTCTGACTTCCACAGGTATGCATACGTCTTTCAAATGTAAAGCCATTAGTCCTAGACATGGTGGCTCAAATCCAAGCCCAGGAAGGGAGCTGAGGTAGGAGATCATGAGTTGGAAACCACAAGGCATCCAGGTATGGTGGATGTCTTGTAATGCACCAGTACTTGGGGTATGGTTCAAGACCTGCCTGGGCTACAACAGCATCTGTTTATAAATAAACATATTTTTATTTATCTGGTTTTTTTGAGACAGAGATTCTCTGTATCGTGAATGTCTTGGAACTCACTCTGTAGACCAATGTGGCCTTGAACTTATAAGAGATCTACCTCCCTTAGCCTCCTGAGTGCTGGAATTAAAGTCACATGCCACTGCCCAGCTTTTGATTAATTTTTTGTTGTTGATTTTCGAGACAGGGTTTCTCTGTGAGACAGCCCTGGCTGTCCTGCAACCAGCTCTTGTAGACCAGGCTGACCTTGAACTCACAGAGATCCACTTGCCTCTGCCTCCTGAGTGCTGGGATCAAAGATGTGTGCCAACCCTGTCCAGCACTGGTTAAATATTTTAAGAACTGGGTATTAGCAAGCAAGGAGAATGAACGAGCTGAAACATATGTATTAGTGGATGGAACAAATGGCACTGTCACATTGCAAATCAGGGTGACAACTCTCCAAGGGTTAAGAGCATAGTTAGCATATAATTAAACTGTCCACACAGTGGCATTAATGGTAAGTCATAAAGTAGAGCCATCCCAAGCACCTCTCAATGAATGAATGCAATGTGTTATGTTTACATAGTATAATGTTATCTGGCAACAAAACAAAAGTCATGCTCGACCCAGGGAAACACTGTAGAAATATGCTGAGAAACAAACAACGTTCATGCCTTTAATCTACTCTAGAGGCAGAGGGACTTAAGGCCAGCCTGCTCTACAGAATAAGTTCCAGGCTGACCAGGGCTATATAGCAACATTCTGTCTTAGAAACAAAACCCAAGACAGGCAGTTTTATGATTCCGTTTGTGTGGTGTGCCTAAGATGGCACATCAATAGAAACAAGAAGTCCCTACGCGGTTGCTAGGGGCAGATACAGAGAAGAACTGAGTAGTGAAGATTCTTTTAGGCATACTGAAAATGTTCTAAGGGACAAGTATATAAATACAAAACCAAACCCACTGAACTATACACCCCTGAGTGAAGTTTACAGTTATCCAAAGACAAAAAGATAGCTTCTAACCTGCCAAAAATTGAATGTATTTGTTAAATACAGACACACACCCACACACACTGTCATCTGTAACAGTGTCACCCATAGATCCACGTGTGAAGATCTTGTCCCCATAGAGGATGGTGGTAGAACCTTTAAAGATGTGGACTAAAGAAAAGGCCTTAGGTCAATGGGTGTGTGTCCCATTTCCACATGTGCGTCACTGCCCTGATGGGCCCCTGCTGAGGCATGTTAGGCAAATAAATAAATAACTACAATGCAGTAAGATTTGGTTTTTCCCAGATGTGAACCTAGAGATGCTCACATGCCAGGCAAGCAGTCTCCCACTGAGCTTTATGGTCTTAGACTTCTAATGCAGTAAGAAAAACACAGGCAATATGATCAAAAAACAGGCAAAACACTTAAGACTTGTTTTCACACACAAAAACAAACCTCAGTGGGGCACGTTAGTACACCTGAAATCCCAGCACCCAGGAAGCAAGTTCAAGGCCATCCCATCCATGGTGAAAGTTCAAGGACAAACTGTCCCACCATGCAAGCAACTAGAACAGCCCTATAGAAAGCTATCGAGCACAACAGGGACCTAAGGCAACCACACTTCCTGGTGCTGCTGCTAATGTGTGATCTGGAGCGACTGCTTAGGAATGCCACAGTCTGAGTTTACTAATACCCACCCACCAGTACCACACTCCTAGAAACACTCTAAAGTCCGGGTGCATCTGTCTGTTCACCAGAACATGCAAGAACAACCACAGCAATACTCATCATTAATGGTCTAAAGCCCACCAAATGAGTAGGTTACGGTGTGTTTCACAATGGACCTATCCAGGGATGAGAATGAACTATAATGTGTAGCAGTGTGGATAACTGTTGCAAAAGGACCAGATCCTGATGAGGACATACTACAGGATGCATTTGCATAAAGCACAAAAGCAGAGTTACTGTGTTAGAGGTGTGGTTCTGCACCTGAAGAGGGATGAAGGCAGTTACATACTGATGGTGATGGCCGAGCCCTGGTTTTGTTTTGTATTATGCTTGTTTTCCGAGACAGGGTTTCTCTTCATAGTCCTGTCTGTCCTGGAACTCACTCTGTAGACCAGGCTGGCCTTGAACTCAGAGATCCTACTGCCTCTGCCTCCTGAGTGCTAGGATTAAAAGTGTGCGCCATCACTGTCCAGCATGAGCCCTGTTCTTATTGCATGGATGTGCTCACTTGAGAGCTCACCAAATTGTATACTTAAATTTTATGTCTTCCTTCAAAAACAATGTTTTGGAGACAGGGTCTAATGTAGCCCAGGCTAGCCTCAAGCTTATACAGAGAAGATAACCTTGACCTTCTGGTTGGCCTCTACCTCCTGAGTGCTGAGTGCTTAGATCATAGGTGTGCACCACCAGTGGCCATTTATGGTGCTGTAGATTGAAACTGTGGTGATATTTTGTTTATGCTATAACAAGTAAAGCTTGCCTGAAGATCAGAGCACAGAGCCAGCCACACTAGTTAGCCATAGAGGCCAGGCAGTGGTTGCACACACCTTTAATCCCAGCACTCAGGAGACAGAGGCAGCTGGGTCTCTGTTAGTTCAAGGCCACCCTGGGCTATATAAAATTATCCAGTCTAAAAGAGAAACAGCTCACACAAAGTTAATCTTAGCACTTGGGATCACACACCTTTAATCTCAACACTAGGGAGATGAAGACAGGATGATATGGCTAGGCAGAGAGGACTATAAATAAGGTAGGAGGAGACAGGAGCTCGGTGCAGTCTGAACAGCAGACAGTCTGAGGACAGGATCACCCACCCTTTTGGTCTAAGGATTCAGTAGAGGTAACAGGTCTCTCTTGTGGCTGGCTCCTTTACTTCTCTGACCTTAAGAGTATTTACCCTGATATCTGACCCTAAGGTTTTATTAAGACCTATTAGAACTCGTGCTGCAGAAACCAAGGCTTTGGGGATCCTGGGCAAGCAGTCAATCAACAGCCACATCCCCAACCCACCAGTTTTTCATTTGCATAGAAACAAGACTTTCTACAAGGTGTTTTAAGAGAAACACCAGCATTCCCCTGTACTTTCTCAAGGAACCAAGCAATAAGTACAACTGCATTGTGAGGTGAGTTACTGAGGGAAAACACTGGACATCAGAAGAAAAGCAAACAGACCCAGAGACCCAGGGACAACAGTACAGGGGCATAAACTAGAGACCAGCTCTGTAGCAGTGAGGAATTCACTGCAGGGTCAGGATGACAAAGACAGCCCACTCCATCAGCCATGTGGATTATGGTGAATCTGGCTAGTGGAAAGCCTGGCAGCCCGCACAGGCTTGCAGCTGAACTAGATAACTAATTGGATCCACATCCAACAAGTTATCATTTTCCTGCCAGTCTTCAGGAGCCATCTAGATAAGGGACCTGTTGTCTAAATGGAGTGTGCATGGTCCATCTCCAAGGCCCTACAGACATTCCAGTGGAGAGCTGCATCACGAACCAAACAGCCCGGCCCTCCGACTCCCACTCAGCCTCACTGAGCAGCCAACGTAGG